GATTCTCCTGCTTCAATGATTTGCCTCTATATGATCGAATTTTCTCTTACGTCACTTATCTTAAACATTTATTAGTCCATAAACTAATCAATTGATTTCATCATCAAAATTCGGGATTCAACAAGGACACCTTTAGTAGTTCATCCAGAAACCTCAGAAGTCATCACCCTAACCTCAAGAGCTGGTCGAAAGACAAATAGATGTTTTAGTTAGTGGCCCGACCTCAAAAGGAGATAACATATCAGGTCGTAAAACTTATGCTCGAGCTATCATTAGCAAGTGCTTTAGGACCAAAGGTAAACATAAAATAACTTTCAGAGAGGAGACAATGATTTGACCCAAACCATAATAATGCTCTAGTGGTCTCCGTATGGATGATTAATACTCGAGTAAAAAAGAGTCATGATTGATATTTTTAAAAAACTTAGGCTCTCGGCTAATGATCACACCCCCATGACTTCCTTATTGATGAGATTTACTAATGACTTAATTTCCCACCTTCGGACCATAAACCTACATGTCACATTTGGAGATGAACCATGCTCGAAGATAATTATGACCAAATTCATTGTGGTTAATATCCCCTCAACATATAACACCATTATAGCTTGACCTATGTTGAATAGAATATAGATAGTCATGTTGACCTATCACATGATGATGAAATTCTCAACTAGCACCAACATTAGCGAATTAAGGAGTAACCCAAGGGAATCCCGACAGTGCTATCTCATGACTATCTCCTTACCTAAGAAGGTACGATCTGAAGCACCACCTACGGACCTAAGAGACTTCACCAAACCCTTTCTACACTCGAAACCGACAGAATAATTAATCGAAACACCCCTAGATAAGGCTTGCCCTAATTGAGTCATCAAAATAAGCTTAATGTTGCCCAATGAGAAGAGAGTACAACTTATCAATTTGCTCAAGAATGCTAAGGTGTCCGCATGGTCATCAAAGGACATATTGGGAATTGATTCGAATGTGACTCAACATCATTTGAACATTGCTCCCAGAGCTCGACTAGTCAAACAGAGGCCTTGCAAATTTGCCCTCGAACGCTAACAAACTATTAGCAATAAAATCAACAAACTACTAGTAGTATGGTTTATTGTCGAGGTGTAATACCTGCAGTGGCTCACCAATGTTGTACTTGTCAAGGAGCAAATAGAAACTAAAGGATGTATGCAAACTATAGCAATCTCAACAAAGCATGTCTAAAAGATAACTATCCTCTCCCATAGGTGGACCAACTAGTTGACGCCACCTTGGGGCATGAACTCATTACTTTCATGGATGCATTTTTTGGATACAACTAGATAAGAATAGTATAATAAGATCGGGAACATACATCCTTCACCACAAACCGAGGGATATACTGCTACCAAGTCATGTCACTCGGGTTGAAGAATATAGGAGCAATATACCAAAGGATGGTGAATAAGATCTTCAAGCACCAGATCGGGAGGAATGTTGAAGTATATATAGATGACATGATAGTTAAATATAGAATGGTCGACTCACATTTAACATACCTTGCAAAGACCTTTTAAATCCTTAAGAGACACAATATGCATTTCAATTCAACCAAATGTGCTTTTGGGGTGAGTTTAGGAAAATTCCTATGTTCATTATGCATCAAAGAGAGACAGATGAAACCAAAAAGAAGTACAAGCCATATTGGAAATACGTCCACCTTAGTTAATAAAGTCCAATTACTAATAGGGCGAATGGCAGCTTTGAGTCAATTCTTGTCCTGATCCGACAACAAATGCCAACCTTTTTTTCAAGCCCTTAAAAACTCGAAAGGTATCATATGGACTTAGAAATGTCGAGAGGCCTTTGAGAGATTAAAGTACCACCTTACTTGATTGGTGCAGTTGACCTCCACCTCGAGAGCAATCCTTAGTCTCTACCTCGCTGTTACCAACTTGGCTATCAGCTTCATCCTAGTCCAAGACAACGCAAGGAGTCAAAGGCCCATTTACTATATCAGTCATGTCTTGAGTGGACCCGAAGAGTGATACCCACCTATAGAGCAACTAGCATTTATGCTAGTACTCATGGTGAGAAAGCTCTATCCCTATTTTCAGGTGCACATCATATAGGTTATCACCAATCAACCACTTCATTGGGTTTTATCTTGGTATGACATTTTAGGGTGATTACTCAAATGGTCTGTAGAGCTAAATGAGTTCGATAATTAATAGTGCAGGGATAAGGCTGGAGAAACCCCGCTCTATCTCAGACGACTCCTCACATACAGATCAAGGCCACGTCGTGCTGATGCATACATCAATGACATCTATCTCTAACATTTGTTATTGTCCTCCTTATTATAAAGGGACAAATGGAAGTTTGTGTTTCTCTTTCGTGTCATAATAAATAAGAAAGTGTTGCAGGTGTTAGGAATTCGCCCAAGTACCACAATAATTAGTAGTCCCCTTGAGCTCGATCGATTATAGGTGGCCATTCGCTCAATGGGGTATGGACCTTCTCAGGCTCAGTCCTAATAGCTTCTCCTCCATGACTAGGTTGTTGTCCTAGATACTCTCCAAAATGGGTTAGGGTGGCAAACTCTCGCTTAGTCTCCTCCAACCTCTGAGCTAATTGGTCACCTTAAGCCCTTGTCTCGGCTAGAATAGTAATAGGAGGATCAACTCCTGCCTTCCTCAACTTCTCGACCTCTGCCCAAAGATCGACATTGTTTCGAGTTTGTTAGTTGATGACGACACTAGTATCCCAGACCCAATCCAACAAGGCTATCATGTAATGATGGTACTACAAAACACATAAAAAATATAAAAATATCCTATCTGCTACTAAAGGTGCTGGAGAATCTAGGAAAATCCCCCCGTCGCTAGGGTGCTAACTGAGGAAAATATAATGAGTTCGCCTCTCTCCTCCAACATTAAAAAGGTGATCGAGGAGTCTCCCTCGAGATGCCTCTCTCTCTCTCTTTCTCTCTCTCTCTCTCTCTCTTTTCTTTCTTCGCTTCATTTAGTAAACACTAGTTTAGGAGAGTATGAAAAGATACTCCTAGCATTATTTGTGGGAACTAGAAAATGACTATGTTGACCTCAATCAAGATAAGGCAGCTTCTCACTCCCCACAAAATTACCTTTCACGACTAAGATAGAATAACTACTCGGGATCATTCCGCCAAACCGTGTGAGTTGGGCACGCTCGACCCGTGTAAGAGGAAATCCTCTATGGTGGAAAAACGGGCCAGGAAGGTGCTCCAAAACGCATGAGTCAAGCATGCCTGACCTGCATAAGAAGAAATATGCTATGGTAGGAAAACAGGCTAGGAAGGTTGCCCTAATGCACGTGAGTCGAGCATGCCAGACCCACATAAAAAGAAATCTACTACGATAGAAAAACAAGCCAAGAAGGCGCCCAAAACGTGAGAGTCGAGCATGGTCAACCCGCATAAGAAGAAATCCACTATGATGAGAAAATAAGCTAGGAATGTGCCTAAAGCGCGTGAGTCAGACATGCCCGACAGACGTAAGAGGAAATCCACTATGGTGGGAAAACAAGCCAGAAAGGTGCCCAAAGTACATGAGTCAAAATACAATTCAAATCAGTTACAAACTACCTTCTTCACAGACCTTCACAAGATATCCTCCCCCCCCCCCACAAGGTTAGTATAAAAATATGTCCATAATATCAAGAGAGAGGTGTGTGTACAACCAAGTAATAATTTAAATATCGGAGGGGCCAACTCGGGAAACTCCTTCCGACCTTAGTCTTTATGCAAGGATAAGGCTAGAGAAACCTCGCTCTTCCCCAGACGACTCCTCATATACAGATCAAGATCACATCGTGTTGATACATACATCAACGACATCTATCTCTAACATTTGTTATTGTCCTCCTTATCATAAATGGATAAATGGAAGTTTATGTTTCTCTTTAGTATCATAATAAATAAGAAAGAAGTTTGTGTTTCTATGACTCTTTGTACACGTAGGTGGATGGAGAATTACTTGGGTCTTATGTGTCAACTATGCAAATTATCTATCAGATATCAAATACCATATAAAACAAGCACTTAGATCATTTCATCCTTCATACAGAATGGTGTCTAGATTAAGGTAAATATTTTGAAAACATGTACAACAGTAATAGGAGATTACTGTAGTAGTAAGAAAGAACCATAAGCCATGTAAAACGGAATATAAAACATAACCGTAACAAGAAGCATAAATTACGTGCCGATAATCCTTCAACTACAATAATGTAATGATCAACATTAGCTTAGTTATAAGGTACTCATGTTTTGTAGAACCCTTAGAAGAAATCTTCACGTCAAGCACAGTAATGCAATGGAAGTTTATATAATACTTGCCGATCATGTTTGTTTTACCCCCACCTCGGATGTAAATGCAGATATGTGAGGAATAGTTGTTAATGATAGGAGATATGCCCTAAGCAAGACAAATTTCTGTAGGCCATAAGACTAATTGCATGCCAAATTTAATAGACCATACTGAGGTGATGATGGAAAACTTCACTCTTACCCAATAAAAACATCCATAAAGTTAATTATGATTGGGAGAAGAAGGTAAAGGGAAAAAGAAAAAGAAAAGACAATTCCGTAACAAGAGAGCATCAGGATTCCTGAATCACTGGGGGGAAAAAAGGGCTGCAAGAATTTGCTTCAAACTCCAACCACAAAGAAGATAGAGCAATCGAGCAGCTTTTCATTGGAAGCAAAAAAGGAGCTTCCCTCCCAGCCCAAGCAACCCCACCACCATCACCTCGGCCCACACTTGTTTATTACTAGGCACACCTCGGCCCACACTCCAACCAACATTAACCACCCCAGGTCAAAAGCAAAGGGCGCCCGTGTAACCACAAAATGACTCCATCCCCCAAGCAAAAAGGTCGACATAAATATTACTTCGTGCTTATGCTGCTTGTGTTTGTTTGGTGTGTGGTGTGTGGTGTTTTCTGTACGAGAGAGAGAGAGGAGGGGGGGGGGGGGGAGAGAGAGAGAGCGAGAGCTGTTTTGGTGTGTTGTTGTGGAGAAGACAGACCACGGAATCGAATCCGAGCGCCGATGTCCGAATCCCCCCGCTGTTATCTCCTTGTAGCAACCCTGCGCTTGAGCAGAACCCAAGGAGATGCAACCCCTCTGTCTCGGCCTCTCTCCCTTGCCACCACCCTATAACTCTAATTATTGCTGTGGTTATTGCTGTTGTTGCTATCCTCCTCCTCCTACTACTAACACCACTGCTGCTGCTGCGGCTGTAGTAGGAGTTGCTGCTGTTACGATCTCAGCTGCCTTTACCCTTTGGCTCGCTCTCCTTCGCCGAGTCCATCCACTGGCATGCGGAGAGCTTCTTCCCCTTGTTTTTTCTGATGGCCTCCACCTCTTTCCTCCTCTTCCCTCCCCCAGCTCATGACTCGTCTCCCTCCTCCGCTGATCAGCCCAACTCCAACTGCTCCTCCTCCTCCTCCTCCTCTCTTATTAGAGCCAACTCTTCTCCACTTCCTCCCCTCCAACCACTACTGTTGTTGCCTCCTCAGCAGTTCCATTATTTTCGTCAGCAACAGCATCAGCAGGAGGAACAGCTTCTGCAACTCCTCTATCTCCAGCAGCAGCAGCAGCAGCAGCAGCAGCAGCAGGAGGAACAAGATAAGATGGTGAGGAAGAGGCTGGCTTCGGAGCTCGACCTCCAGTCCGACTCTCCATACGGCCCTGCTCGCCTCTCTCGCCGCACCACAACCGGTGCCTCCTCCTCTTCCTCCGCCAATCCTACGTTCCTAGGGGATGTCCTCCCCGGCCAGCCCTCTCCACTGTTCAATCCGCCTTCGACGCTTCCCGTTGACGTCGGCCAACAAAGCGCCGCTGCTTCCGTTTTGTTGCCAGTTACTACTAGTAGTACTCCGCCTGGCCTTCTACCGTCTTTGCCTGCTCCTCCGCCTCCAGCTCTTCCTTCGCTGGCCGTCTGTGGGTTCTCAGGCTTGCCCCTCTTTCCGCCCGATGATGATCGTATTGCTTTGCCTTCTTCGAACGCAGAGGGACTGCAGCTTGTTTCTGCCTCTGCCATCGGCGGTGGTGGTGGGAGCTCCGATGATGCCGGGGTAGGTACCGCTTGGGTGGACGGGATTATCCGCGATATCATTAATAGCTCCGCCGGCGGGGAGGTTTCCATCCCTCAGATAGTTAACAGCGTCCGCGAGATAGTACACCCATGCAACCCAGGCTTGGCGGCCCTCCTAGAGTTCCGACTCCAGTCGCTCTCATCCGACCCATCGCCGGCCGCAGCACTGCACTCGCTTCCCAATAGCGCAGCGCTGGATCCCTCCGACAAACGGCGGAGGGACACGAGGGTGGCTCCGCCGCTGCCGGAGACAGTACAAGCACCGAAACGAGCCAACCAGGCGCCGCCCTTCACATTCGCCCCAGCAGTTGCTGGCGGCGGATGGGAAGAACCAACAAGCCGCCTCCAAAGCGCACAACAGAACCCGCAGCCACAACAGCAACCACAACCCCAACCTCAACCTCAAAGGAGCTCCACCTCCGTTTCCTCGGACGAGGCAACGGCGGCGACGGCGGCTGCCTCAGCGGCAGCGGCAGCGGCCGCGAGGAAGAGGGAAGAGATGCAACAGAGGAAGAGGGACGAGGAGGGCCTCCACCTGCTGACGCTCCTGCTCCACTGCGCGGAAGCGGTAGCCGCCGACAACTTGGAGGAGGCGAACCGGTTGCTACTGGAGATCTCGGAGCTGTCGACCCCCTTCGGCACGTCGGCTCAGCGCGTTGCTGCCTACTTCTCGGAGGCAATGTCGGCTCGTCTGGTGAGCTCGTGCCTGGGCCTGTACGCGCCGCTTCCGACCGTGCCCCACCGCCACCGTCTGGCCTCCGCCTTCCAGGTTTTCAACGGTATCAGCCCCTTCGTAAAGTTCTCCCACTTCACGGCCAACCAGGCGATACAGGAGGCGTTCGAGCGGGAGGACCGTGTTCACATCATCGATTTCGACATCATGCAGGGCCTCCAGTGGCCGGGCCTCTTCCACATCCTGGCCTCCCGCCCCGGCGGCCCTCCGCGGGTGCGCCTCACCGGCCTCGGATCCTCCATGGACGCTCTCGAGGCCACTGGCAAGCGCCTTTCCGACTTCGCCGAGACGCTCGGCCTCCCCTTCGAGTTCGTTCCAGTTGCCGAGAAGGTCGGCAACCTGGACCCCGAGCGCCTCGGCGTGTCCCGCCGTGAGGCCCTCGCGGTGCACTGGCTGCACCACTCGCTCTACGACGTCACCGGTTCGGACACCAACACTCTCTGGCTTCTCCAAAGGTAGATGCGTAGTCTCCTTCGCAATGCTTGTAGCTTGCTTCTTTTTCTCCTCTTCAATCCCTTTGTTCTTTTAGTGCAATAGCTACTACTACTACTACTGAGCTTGAAAATAGAACGAACTGGCTGCACTTGGCTCTTATTTTTTCCTCTCTTCTCTTCCTCACACTTCACATGATCTTATTCCACTTCTCCTCCTGCTGTGAGATTCAGACTTGCTTTGAAGGACTAACTATAACTACTTTGTATTCATTACCTTCCAATCCTCCGTGAAAGCTCCTTGGCTTCAATCCGAGTTTCCTCATCTGTGATATATCTTTCTCGTCTCCCGTGATAATACTTTTTCTTCGAAAATGCATCTTTACAGCTTCGACAAAGAAGAAGTTAATAGTTGTCAAAGAACAATGTTTAATATTCTTTAGCTTTGGTTTGTCCAAAGTCAAATGTAATACTAATCAGACAACTTTCCGTCACTCGTGGAAGAAGAGACGACGTCGTTGGAGGCCGGTTGGTTAACAGAGATTGATTGAGAGGCTTTTGAGTTGCTCATGTCTTCTCTGCAGACTCTTTTTCTCCTCTCTCCCTTTTCGTCCATTAATCATTATCGTTACTTTTAAAAGTAGTGACGATGAAGACGGTCGATTTAGGAACAACATTAATTAATTTGCATGTGATCGTGGGTGTGTAGGTTGGCACCCAAGATTGTAACAATGGTGGAGCAAGATCTCAGCCAAGCAGGTTCTTTCTTGGCTCGGTTCGTGGAGGCGATCCACTACTACTCGGCCCTCTTCGATTCGCTCGGCGCCAGCTACGGCGAGGACAGCCAGGAACGGCACATTGTCGAGCAGCAGCTGCTGTCTCGGGAGATCCGCAACGTGCTCGCCGTGGGTGGCCCGGCGCGCACCGGCGAGGTCAAGTTCAGCAACTGGAGGGAGAAGCTTAGTCAGTCTGGCTTCCGTGGGGTCTCGCTCGCAGGCAATGCAGCAGCCCAGGCCACCCTCCTCCTGGGCATGTTCCCCTCCGACGGCTACACCTTGGTCGAGGAGAACGGCACGCTCAAGCTGGGATGGAAGGATCTCTGCTTGCTTACAGCTTCAGCTTGGAGACCGATCAACCACCACCAGGCCGCCGCCACCTCCACCCTAGTTGGCGCCACTCGGTAGGAGAAGAACGATACATTTCATTGTTATTCCAAGTAGGTATTGCATGTTACTTGTTAGTTACTCGATAGTTCTCAGAGTTACAAAACCTCATCTTCTTCTTCTTCTTCTTCTTCGTCTTACCACCTACCACTGCTTTTCCTGTGTGCAAGAGACTGATGTCTTGCCTAACGAAGTGGTTGGGTGAGGAGAGAACGCATGTCATAGATCTGTCTTTGCTATGAATGCTTTGAACTAGGTGAGGTTAGCAGCGACACTGCTTTTTCTTCTATGGCTATTTCCAATGACATGTCCCTTTCGCTCTTACAAGCTGTACCAGCCCTGGGACTGAGATAGGGAGAGGCACTACGGTTTTGTTTGCTATCACAAGAGATAGAGAGAGAGAGAGAAGGAAGACACAGTGAGTTGGCTGTGGGCGTGATTTATCTCTGTCAGACAGCTATTACACACATGTGTAGCCTGCAGTGAGTTGGCTGCCTTCCGGTGAAACCCGGTAATGATGAACATTTTTTTACCACTTGGAGGAAGCTAAGCATGTTAGGTCTTTAATGTTTCTGAGGGCTGTGTTTCTGGGACGTATTCGACACTCATCTCAATCTTACCTTGCGGATTCATCTTAATCGTTAGGGTTTATGGCAGTGGTTGGCCCAGCAAGATATAGCAAGGGTGTACGTGACTGCAGCAGCCTCAAGTGTCATTGTCAGGTGGAAAGCGTTGGTCAAGCCATTGATTTGGTAGAAAAGAATGAGCAAAGCTCATCAATCCCCCTCTCAGTCCCGCTTTTCTATCAACTGCCGTGCATTTAGACCATTGCTGATTATATCATCTTTTGGTTGTGATTAAGGTGATTACAAATCACTCTAAACAGTTGTTTCTTCTTGATAACCATAGTTAATATTACTTTCCCAACTACACCCAAGATTTTTTATATGAAGCATTTCTAAAGAAAATGAAGTGCATATTCTTTATCCTCGGAAGCAACTAAGAAAAGGAGAACTAGAAATAAATGAAATATATATATCTTAAATATTTTTTAAAATATTCCAGAGCCGAGATCAAGAAGAACTAATTTAGAATTAATTCAACATATTTTTGAATGTCTCAACTCGTTTAGCTAGTAAAAATCTTGATAATCTATTGTAAAATCTTGAGCTCGAATTTTATTTTCGCCATTTGTCCTTTAAAAAAAATTATGAAGACTGAATAAGGATTATATAGATTAAATATTATCCGATTTTATTTGCCCCCAAAGGTTGTAGATGGTGGAAATTGAGATGAGCTGCAATTATATTATATTATACTATCTGATTTAGTTTAAATTCAAGATTAACTGGGCCTAGTGACTTAGTTGAGTCGAGATATCATAGTGCTAAGATGGTTTCTAACTTGATGTATATTTTCCATCGAGTTGTAACTCTTATTATTGATTTTGTGAAGTCCAATAGTTCCTATAACATCGATATGGATGATAGTGTCCTTATTACATTTTTAAGGGACTCTAAAGGCATTTGGTTATTAGTATGGTGATAGAAAATTTGGAAAACTTTGGCCAGTGATATCTAATAATAATATTAGGGATCAAGGAATAGCATTGTGTATCTTTTGATGATATTATTAAATTAGACTGTAAGATCTCAGATGTCATGAAGCCTTTGTTGATTTGTAGAGAGAATACACCCGTAAATATTCTAGACAGAACTTTAAATCTCTTTCATCAAGTTTAGAACTCTCATTCTATTGGTCATTATCTTTCATCAAAATTCAATTATGTCTTCAATATATAAGTTATTAAGCTACATAATCTAACATTCTACTAGTTAACCCATTAACAAGTTAAAATATAAGATAAAAGTTTAAAATAATAATAAAAATAAATTTTCAAATGCCAATAGGGATGGATAGATGCTGGCTTCACCACATTTTAATATTATACCTGATACCCCAAGGATTAATGAAATCATATGTGGCTTAAACCATCTTAATCCAAATGCAGTTGGAATTAGTAACATATTGACAAGTACATTTAGCATGCAAAGCATTTTTCATCACATGTAGATACTCAACACCAAGACCCCTAGCCAGCCCCTTTAGGGAAGATAACAGTGTTCCAAGCCAGAATATGCAAGCCATTAGAGTTAGGTTCGTTACTTCAAAGAAAGTTTTTAGTAATCTTAATGATATTGTTAAGAATCTCACTCGATATACAAGTGACACTAAGAGAACGAAGAGGAATGGAGTTAAAGAATAAAATTAATAAGCACAACCCTACCAACTCATGACAAAAAGGTGCTATGCCATGTTCCAAATCTATTTACAAAAGGTTTGGTAAGTTCGCTAAACGTTGAAGGGCGAATTCTCCTTGTGCGATGAGAGTGCCAGGATACCTAAAGGGAAAGTTATCATATTTAAGTTGTTCCATATTTCTATTAGTATCCCGAGGAAAATAAATTTCAGATTTAGAGGTGTTAACCTTTTGATTAGTAAAATCTTTATAGGTTTGAAATATATTAAGAATGAAACGATAAGACTTTGCTCAAACAAAATAATATATCATCTATCATCCGCATATAATTTTAGTCATTTTGAATTTAGCTAGATTACTTAAGTCTTTATAGTTTACTCACGTCTAAAATAACTCGTATATTTTAAAAAACATAGCGCAGAGGTTCATCTTGTCAAGTCTGAGTTAATAGATATTAGAATCTACAAGTTGATTTATAATAAACTATTAATATAATGATATGTATAATTTAAGTTTAAAAAAAAATTAAAGTCTATTTTAGCCCCTATGATTTGGGTCATGAACTACTTAAGCTCTTATGGTTTACTCACGTCTAAAATAATTATTAAAACCGTAACATATAAGTCTCTTTCGTCAAGTTTGAGTTAACAGATATTAGAGCATGTGGTATGTTGACTCACAATAAATTATTAATATAATAACACATATAATTTAAATTAAAAAAAAAGTTAAGGTCTATCTTGTCGAGGAAGAAGACGAAGCAGAGATCGTAGCAACAGACGCAGGCGGAGAGGCAGAGGTATGAGAGACTGAAGGTAGAGGTGAGGGAAAGATGGACCACCACATCATAGGCATGATGGGTGGGGACACAAGAGAGGACGAAGTGGGAGGTGATGGGGACGAAAACGCTCATGAGGAGGAAGAGGGACTCGGAGACCACTGTGTCTCTAGCGTCGAATTGATCAATACACATCCACCTAAGGCAGGACTAGAAGCTCATGAGCACGTCGTTAGCGTGAGAAAGGTTACGTGCATACAATGCCCTATTAGGCAACAGCGGGTTGATGCTATTATTGGTGGTCGCTTCCACGACGATGCCTCCTCCCGTCATTGATTATGGTCTTAGTTTTTTTTTTAACTTAAATTACATATGTCATTATATTAATTTATTATGAGTTAGTATATCATGTGAGTAGATTCTAATATCTATTAACTTAAACTTGACCAGAGAAGCTTATATATTATATTTTTTAAAATATAAGATTTATTTTAGATACGGATATATCATAAGGGCTTAAGTAGTCCATAGCTAAAACCACAAGAGCTAAAATGGATCTTAACCTTTTTTTTAAAACTTAAATTATACGTATCATTATATTAATGGTTTATTATGAGTTAGTATACTATATAAGCAGACTTTTATATTTATTAACTCAAACTTGATAGGAGAGGTTTATATGTTATATTTTTAAAAATATAAGAATTATTTTAGACACCAATAAACCATAAGGGTTTGAGTGGTCCATGACCAAAACTATAGGGGCTAAAATGGATCTTAATTTTTTTTAAACTTAAATTATATATATTATTATATTAATAGTTTATTGTAAGTCAGCATGTCACGTAAGTAGACTTTAACATTTGTTAATTCAAACTTGACGGGAGGAATTTATATACTATATTTTTTAAAATATAATGATTATTTTAGATATGAATAAAAAATGTATAGATATAATTAAAGAATATCCTTTGATATATACCCTTTTGAATAGAGACTGATTTTTGAGTTGGATATGCTAATAAGGGGTAGTATTACAAGAGTTTGAAACAATATTATGTGCATCCACATACTAAACCTTAAAATGTTGAAATTTAAACAATTTGTTAAATGCAATAAAAACCTTAGCAATTTGTAGAAGGACGAGATGATGATCAGAATAATTTCTAGGCATATGTTTAACAATTAAATTACCAAAAATATTAATCCAAGCACAATTGGCAAAACCATGATGAATTGGCAGAACCAAAATATCAAAATTACCAAATCATTTGTTGGACCAAGTAAATCATTGTCCGATGAAACCAAGATCAATTAAACTAGTATTTTTAATAAAACTATTAAACATACGAATTGAAGAATTGTTGGAAAAGCAACAGCCACCAAATTTGTCACAAGAACTATTGATACAGTTAAAATCAGTAGGAATTAAGAAAGGAAATTCACTCATATCTAAAGATCCAAGGACTTTCCATAGAAAATTTTGAGAAACAAGAGAGACAATGGCATAAATTCCGGTTAAAACCCATGCAGGAGAATTCATATACTGTATAACTATATGAAGACATTGAGTTTGGAAGGAAAGCACTTTGGCATTAATAAAGGATGAGTTCCAAAGTAATGCAAACCATAGGAAGATCCGAGTACCGTCGGATGTGCAAAGTGTTTCCAAGTAAACTTCTCTGATAATATGATCGAACAGTACCAAAACCCTCAACATTTTCTTTTACTTGGTTGCCATGGAAGAGGTAGTCATACAGGTATTTGATTGTCAGAGAAGAGCTGAATCGAAAGATTGATGCCATGTTAGTCTAGTCTCCAAGAATATTAAAGTCCGATATCTATTAGTTGAAATACTTATTTATTTTTAAATATTAGTAGCTAGAAAACTCGGTTCTAAGATAATCTAAGATGATCGACCTAACCCTAAGGTATCAATCTTGGCCTAAACTCATGAAGTCAACCCAATGAAAGCAACTAAGATGATTTTTATAAATATAAATATTTATTACCTCTTCATAAACAAGTCTAGGAGGTAATAAATATACTTTTGTAAATATTAATAATTATAATAGATATACTTCAACATATTTCTTAGCATATAAAATCATTATTTTAAATATTTTACAAAATTTTATAAATAAGTTTTTAAAAAAAGTTTTATGATTTTTTCTATTCATAGTGATCATGATAATGAAAATTTTATAATTTTTAAAAATTTTATTATTTAAATGGGTATGATCATAATTTC